GAGCCGTATACTACTCACATTTTATCTTGTAGAAAATACATTATAATTATGACACAATCATTTCATAATAATAATGACAAATATGGGGAGCAGTGTCACAGGATGGTCCCAACTACAGGATTGGTTCCTTCTGTTCCAGTTGGATGTTCTCCTTCCCTGAGACTTTCATCCTCCTCAACAGCACAGAGGCCGTCAGACTGGGGGTGGGACCATTCTACCGTGTCCCAGAAAGTCTTATCTATGTACGTCTCTGTCTCCCTCAGCTCCTTCGGTTCAGCCACTCTGCTCTCAAGAGCTTATACGTAGCCTCTGAGGGCCAGGAGTTGCTTTCACCGAATGCACACCTGCGCCACCTGCCCACAAGGCAGATCGTACATGCTACATTCAGTGCAATAGCCTGGGTACCCCCCCCCCACTACACACACACACACTCTTCTGCTGGACTCTTGACTGCGTTATATTTACTTTTGCAGAGTTTGTTTGCAGGGCTTTATTGGCCTAAGTTTAGGGAATTTTTGGTAGGTGTGTCTGATTCTCACACTGCTTCTCTAAACTCCCGTTTGCTGCTCCTGTTCGCTAGCTTAGGACCATTCATGCAGGACCGGCCCCAACAGCTGTGCAACCCTGGGGCCGGCTCCCCAGAGCCAGGGGCTGTTAGACCGTAGGGCAGACGCGTCCCCATGGCCGCTCTCCTGTTTTTTTTACAGGGATGTGCAATGACTGGATGAGGCACGTGGATTTTGACCCTGCACAGACGGAGTTCGGTGTCGGCGCCAAGGGTCGGGTGACCTGTCGTCAGGAGTTCCAGCAGGACTCGTTCAGTGTGACGTGCAGAGAGATGGAGTCGGGACGATTCGAGTGGGATTCGGGTGCACACACGTGTGTCAGTGAGTGCGGGGAGCCGGCCCTGGGGCTGGCCGGGCGCTGTCTGGCCGGGGAGGGCTCCAGCCAGGCTGCTGAGAGGCCGTGGGGAAAGTCCTGCTGCAATGAACAGCTTCCCATCCATGGTGTCCCCAGGGGGGCAGGCGTGTGGATCTGATCCCAGCTCCTGGCCCTGCTCCCCGTGCAGGAGCAGCAGAGACTAGGAAAACCGTTCTCCCCACGGCCCAGTGGGGCAGACTGGTCCGCGGCGTGTGAACAGAGTAAATGTACCTGATCACGTGGGGCCTGATCCTGAGAGGGCCTGATCCTTGCAGCCCCTCCCCACCCTCTGATGGGCGCCCAGCATGGTTCAGGCTCAGCCCATAATACTCAGTGGTGTCTGCCTGGTTCCAGTGACCCCCAATACTCTGCTCTCCTTTACCCACAGGAAAATGTGAAATACCCAGAACCTGGGACTCCAGATTGCAGTTTGCCCCCAAGAGGCAGTTCTACTCCCCGGGTGAACTGGTGACACTGAGCTGCCCAGAGGGACATCGGCCATCACCACCTGTGATAGTATGTGCC